GTAAATTTTGGTCAATGACATGAGACAAAGTATATGTGAACTGCTGTATGAAAAGTGAATTTGCTCTGTAAATCTTCACCCAAATCCTAATTAAAAAACAAACAAACAGTTATTTATTTTATATTATATCATGAATTAGTTGGACAGAGTTTCCCTAAATTTTGATAAAATTCTGAAATGAGAGCAAATACACACTGAATGGCACTTTCTTTTCCTATATTCCCTCTAGTACGCATTGCGCTGTGACATGAGACGGTCTCTGTTGGCCAAGGACTTGACCAAGAGCTGTGAATTCATCGTTCACTCTGCAGTAAGCTTTGCTTGGGACTCTGGGGCTTAATAATGGAATCTTCTGTCAAGTCTGTGCTCTTACTCTACTTAAAGCTAGTAAGTTAGCCTCTTAGGATTTGCAGATGTTGGTAGAAAACATGAGACTTCCAGATCAGAGATGAAGGACTTTGTTTCTCATGCACAGCAGGCAGCACAAGCATCAGCATATGTGCGGTTCCCTGGACCAAGGGTGGCACCATGAACCCAGATGGACTTTATACCTGTCCTGGGCTTGTGTCATAGAAAAGGAACACTTGGCTTGGAGAACCCATTGCTTTTATAGTAAAGAGTAACCAAGCCTGCTCTTTGTCCTGGAGGGAGATACCACCTCGTCCCTCAAGGTTGCTTCTGGCAAGTATAGCTAAGATAGGTCAAAGGCCTGGCATTTTTGGCATACCCAGCAAGAACCTTCCAGGATGTTCAGGACCATTGGGGATTGCCTCCAGCACCTTCCAATTCTGCTAATACTTTACAGTACAAAATGTTCTTAAAGAGATTCTTTCCATGTTGAAACATGGGTAATTGGCTCCCCCACCACCACTTTTACAGTGACTCTGAATAAGTTCTTGACAGAGTCCTCCATAGCCCACAAGAAGCTTACTCACTGGCCATACAGAATGTAGCAGTGACTCTCAGCCCTGCCCAAGGCTGACACATGGTCATAGATATTCATGCCCATGACATTGGTTTCCCTTGATTGTCTCTTAATCCTGTATTGCTCCTTTCCACTCAGTCTCTCCCTTCCCAGAGTATAGCACTCACACCCTTCCCTCTGTTTCCCAGGGCCTGATGTAGTCTAGCTCGCTTCCTGGAATAGCTACAGAGACTCAGCAGTCTGGTATGTTCTGACTTTGGTTTGAGTCTGAGTAGTTACCACGACCACCACCACCAATTACCATAGACTCAACTTTGATTCATGGTGACCATATGGCACCAGAGTAGAGCTGTGCTGCAAGGATTTTCATTGGCTAATTTCCAGAAATAAATTGCCATGCCTTTCTTCCCAAGGTGCCTCTTTGTGGAGTTGAACCACCAACCCTTCACTTAGCAGCCCCCTAGGGACTCCAGTTCAGGACAGAAATTAACAAAATACTGGAGTCTTAGAGGAGCCAGATATCAGGAAAGCCTGAAAGTGGTGTCCCTGAGAGCAGCTGGCAAGCATTAGCCATAGCCCAGGAGCTAGAAGGGACATGTATCCCAGAAGATTGGATTCTGTGGGTCTGGAGTAGCATGTCAAGGTGTTGCCTAGTGCCATACAAGAAGCAGGGACACCAGCTTTTCTTGACTTGCCTATTCTGCACAGTGAACAGCTTTGGTGGCATTGAGCAGGGCCTAGTATCTGGGAGCCCCTCTACCCCACGGTCTTCACTCCATGCCCCAATATACAAGAGTGAGAAACCATCAGGAGATTTGCAATTACTGCATTCCTTTTGTCCATGGGTACCTTTAATGTGGCATGAATGCTTAAGCCCTTGACTATTAGCCAAAAGATTGGTGGGTAGAACCCACCAAGAGGTGCCTTGGAAGACAGGCCTAGAGATGTGCTTCCAAAAGTCACAACAATTGAAATACAGAGCACTTCTCCTCTGCACACGTGGGCTTGCCGTGAATTAGAATTGATTGGATAGCAACTAACAACAAGAATCTTTTTGGTAGTCAATAAATAAAAATAAAAGATTTAAATCTCTTGGGCAAAAATTGGTGAATTACTGCTATCTTTCATTTACCACATTTTTGTAACTTTTTTAGGACTTCTGCCATTTGTAGTTTCCCACTTGTTATATAGTAATCATGATTTTTGAGTGTCATTTTAATGATAAAATCTATTGTATGCATCTTTAGACAAAATGATAAAAATTTTTATTTGCTGTGTGATTTAAATGGATTTTTTTTCCTTCTTTCCATTGTTGTTGGCTGCGTTGATACTAACTGCTAACAGCCCATGTGACAGAGTAGAGCTGTCCCATAGGGTTTTCTAGTCTATTATCTCTGGGAAGCAGGTCACCAGGTCTTTCTTTCGGTGGAGCTGCTGGGTGAGTTCAAACTGCCGGCCTTTCAGTTAGCAACTGAGTGCTGAGCTTTTGCACCACCAGGACTCCTTTTCAAAATGAAGCAAAAAAAAAAATTTTAATACATAGATTATTCCCTTAAAAAAAAAGAAATAAAATTACCCTCTTATGTCCTAAATAAAAAGTGCCTTCAGTTGGCAAAGCAGACTGAACTCAAATTCAGTACCTTGCCCCAGTACTGGGCCTACCAGCATTAGGCTTCCCCAGCCTGCCTCTAATAACTGCAAAGTCATTTTGAAGGGCAAGAGCTGCTTCAGGACCTTTCTCCACTGCTCCAGGACGAGTTATCAATTCTTGGCCTTCAAGAATTGTGATGTCTTTTGTGACCTGTAGCTGTGACCTGTCGTTTACAGCAACTTAAATACTTTAAGAGCTGCAAGGAAGAATATCTTTTCTAAGGAATTCATGTTTAAACCCACTGCTGTTGAGTCAGATCCGACACACAGCGATCCCTCCTTGGGTTTCCGAGGCAGTTTCACTACAGAAGTAGATTGCCCAACCTTCTTTCTAAGGAGTGGCTGGTGGGTTTGAACTGCCAGCTTCTGGTTAGCATTCAAATGCCTTAGGCACTATGCCACCAGAGCTCCTAGGAATATATTTATGAACCTGTTAATTAAAAGAATATATTCAGGAAGAATATTCCTTAAAATAAGTTTTTGGTAAATGAGTTAAACTTGGTAAATTGATTAGCACCCTTCCCCCACTGTATCTCACTGGATGTGAGCACTGGTGGTGTCCAGCCCCTGAGTAGACAATGCCAGGCAGGCTCAAAGAAGTTTGGCTGTATAGAAGGATCCTGTAGTTATGCACTTTGGGGCTGATCATTTTTAATTATTGATGATAATATTTATGATTAAAATTGTATAGGTATGATTCATCCTGGTAGACAGATGTATAACTCAGTGGTTAACAGTACTGAGTCAGCCTACTTGGGTTTGAATCTCAGCTCTGCCACTTACTTGAGCAAGTCATTTAACCTCTCTGTGCCTTAACGTTCCTCATCTATAAAGTGTGACTTGTTGTTGTTGTTATGTGCTGTCGAGTCAGCCCCGAATCATAGCGACCCCTCCTTGGGTTTCCGAGGCAGTATCACTACGGAAGTAGGATTGCCCAACTTTCCTTCCGAGGAGTGGCTGGTGGGTTTGAACCGCCAGCCATCTGGTTAGCAGGCAAGTGTCTTAGCCACTATGCTACCAGAGCTCCCAAAGTGTGGACTGTTGTTGTTGTTGTTGTTATGTGCCGTCGAGTCGGCCCCGACTCATAGCGACCCCTCCTTCGGTTTCCGAGGCAGTATCACTACGGAAGTAGGATTGCCCAACCTTCCTTCCGAGGAGTGGCTGGTGGGTTTGAACCGCCAGCCTTCTGGATAGCAGTCAAGTGCTTTTAGCCACTATGCTACCAGAGCTCCTAGTGACAGTAAAAGTACTCCATAGGGTCATTGCACTGAATCTGTGATACATAGTGTACATTGAAATCTTAAAGCTTATTCTAAGCAGAATTTAAAAATACATACCTTCCCAAGTATTGTTCTCTATGTTTCGGGTCTTAATTTTCAATATCTAGACCTGAAGGGGAACCTAGAGATTAAGACATCTATCCCCTTATTTTGCACATGAAGAAACTGAGTCACCCTTGGCAAAGGATACAACATTGGGTTTTGGCAGAACTGTGTTTGGAACCCAAATGCCCTGCCTTCTGGTACCAAGTTCTTTTTGCTGCCATTTATTTTTTAGAAGGAGAAAGAAGAGTGTGACCTGGAGAACTCATGGCTATTGACCAGCTGATTTTGGTTTTCTTTTCCATTTTAGCCTCAGAAGGGGAAACTGACTCCAAGTCCTGTGGACTTCACAATCACCCCTGAAACCTTGCAGAATGTCAAAGAGGTAACATGTTTCTTACCCCTGCTGCTGTGGATATTTTCTTAGTAATTAGGTCCCACTTACAAATTGTTGCTCAGTTGTTCTTTATTTGGATATACAGTCATCATCAAGAGGAAATTCTTGATATTTGGCCCTATCATGATTAATCTGTATTTCCCATTTTGATGTCTTTTTGTTATTGTTGTAAAAAATAACACATAACACAATATTCGTTGATTTAACCATTTTTCCCATGTACAATTTATTGACCTCAATTGCATTAATCAGATGATGTGACGATCATCAGTATCTGTTGACAAATTTTCCATCACTAATTTTTTTTTATTGTGATTTGTGTGAAAATTTACAGAGCAAATTCACTTTCCATACAGCAGTTCACATATACTGTGTCTCATGACATTCACTACAATTTACCACAGTGCAACAGCTCCCCTCCCACTTTCTCCCGATAGTTACCTCTTCCCTGTGTCCATCCTTCCATGCACTCCTGCCCCCGAGCTGTCTCCCTGTGCATAAACAGCCCTTCTTTCTCCCATGATTGTTCTCTCCAAGAAGTGTATCTGCCTGAGGTAGATACACTCATATATGCCTGTCTTTTGTTTGGCTAGAAGCCACAGGTGTGGGTTCAATTACAGACCTGAAGGACAGCGAGGGGCCATAGTCTCCATGGTTCCACCATGTGCTATCAGACCAGCAAACCTGGTCCCCTTTTTTTCCCCCCGCCAAATGATTTTGAGTTTTGTTCCACACTGTTCTCCCTCTCTTTCCAGAATCGCCTACATAGATGCCCCTCTGAGTAGTTGACAGGGTAGCTGGGCACCATCTAGTTCTGGTCTCATAGTCATATAGACTTTAGATTGCATGGTGTACCAGTTGCTAGAACTAATGGTTTCCATGAATCTTTGGTTTCCTTCATTCTTCTTTACTCTGGATGAGGAGAGACCCAACGTTGCATCTAGATGGCTGCTTGCAAGCTTTTAAGATCCCAGTCGCTACTCACCAAAACAGGAGGTGGAGCAATGTTTTGTATAGTATGTTATGCCAATTGGGCTAGATGTCCCCTGTGACTATGGTCTCAAGACCACACGTTCAACTACTCCGTCCTTCTGGGTAGCTGGCTGTGACCAAGAAATGACTACAACCTTGTCCCTTGTCAGCTCTACTATACACCTGGGAATTCTGATCATACAAATACACTTCTAGGACCATTGCCTGCCAACCCTATACATGGTCTTGGGTACACGCCCCGCTTCATAGTCATACCTAATAGTTCAGCCTATCTACCCATCTACCCACCCATATACCCATGTTTGCTTTCACTGACAACGCAGTACTGTATGTACAAAAGGGTTCATCTTTGTTGTCTGTACCTCCCATGTACCTCTCTAAGTCTTTCTGTCCTTCAGTGCCACCATGTTGATCACTCACATTTTGTCTATTGCCCTTCTCTTCACCCAAATCAATACTTATCTTTACCTATCTAACACTATTCCCTCCCCTACCCTCCCACGCCTGGTCAACAGAGAAAATTTCCTCCCATAGATAAACCTTTCCTTGACTTTTACAATAACGGACTAATACAATATTTGTCCTTCTGTGATTGACTTATTTTACTCAGCATTGTTGTTGTTGTTGTTATTTGCCGTCGAGTCAGCCCTGACTCTTAGCGACCTCTCCTTGGGTTTCCGAGGCAGTATCACTACGGAAGTAGGATTGCCCAACCTTCCTTCCAAGGAGTGGCTGGTGGGTTTGAACCGCCAGCC